CTCGTCAATAGCTTACTCTAACTTGTAAAATAATTTAAAGCACTTTTATTTGAAAGACATAGAATTTTAATGTGCATAATAAAATAGAGAGGTAGTGACAAGGACACAAGGTAAAGTTCAAAGACACTTTGAATGCACCGGAAATAATTCATAAGAAAATGTGTTTTTTTTAACATTGTCCATGGGCAGTAATGTGCACATTACGTACAATTTCCTACCGAGACTTGCATCATCATGTACAAGATAGAAAATACCACAACTTCTGTAGTGTTCTTAGTCACACTCTCAACATCACAGACATCGAATACAAATAACGATCACCCAGGAAGCATACTGCATGTGCTCAGCTATGTCGTCCACCCCAGTCCTGTGGGCTGGCTGCTGGACGCTGGCGAAGGACGCTGGCGTTCTTTGGCTCATCGCGGTGGTAGGGGGTTGGCGCGGCACGCGGGGGCCGCGACCAGGATGTAGAGAGAGAATCACTCTCCACACCGTGGAGCCGAGCCTCGCTCAGGGCTCGCTGCCCGAGTACATGTTGCAGATGATGCCCTGGATGGGGATGCTGCCGATGGTCCTGCGGAAGAACAGGTCCTCGATGGCGTTGGCGTGCACCTTGCGCAGCTCGGGCAGCAGCAGCAGCAGCTTGCCGAAGCGGCAGGGCTGGTCTGGCCGGGACGCGCTCGTGTACTTGCTGAGCATGAGCTGGGCCTGGTCCTGGAGGGCCGCCACCGCGGGGACGTCGACCAGGGCGCCGCGCTCCACGGCTGTGGACAGAGAGAGAGAGGCACTCGCGTTAGACATGTAGTTGGGCGGGCGTAGGGGCCTGGGGTACTACACTTCACTAGAAATTCTGACTTTTTCTGATTTTTTTATAGGGAGGGGGGGGGGAGTTACTCTGATACTTTTTACGAGGCCTAGCTTTGTGTTGTAGTATTCCGATGGTACTTCACTATAAAATTAAGGGTACACTAACTTTTCTTTTTGAACTTTCCTTGACTTTTTCTGATTTTTTTATGGGGAGGGGGGGGGGAGTTACTCTGATACTTTTTACGAGGACTCTCTTGGAGGACGTTTTGTCCACACGTCTTGTTTAAGTTCAAGTGTACTTGTTTCGCGGCAGGTCGGCGTGGGTCCGGAACTGGGCCATGTGGCGAGCCTTCTGCGCCTACTTCCCCATCACGCTGGTCAAGACGGCCGAGCTGGACGCGACGCGCAACTACCTGCTGTGCTGCTACCCTCACGGCATCATCTCGACGGGGGCCTTCGGGGCCTTCGGCACAGAGTTCGCGGGGGTGCGCGACGTGTTTCCGGGCATGGAGCCCGTGCTCGTGACCCTCCCCCAGCACTTCTCCTCGCCGCTCGTCCGGGACCTCGCCCTGTGTCTAGGTGAGTGCGGGGGCGGGCGCGGGCGACCAGATCCCCGCACCCAACTGTTCGAGTTTCACACATCTCATGTGCTCCCCCAGGGACCGTCTCCTCGTCGCTGACCAGCATCGTGAACGTGCTGCGGAACCCCCTCGGCGGCCGCATGGCGGTGCTGATGGTCGGGGGCGCCGCCGAGTCGCTGCTCTCGAGGCCCAACAAGTACCACGTCATCCTCAGGCGGCGCAAGGGCTTCTGCCGCATAGCGCTGCAAGAGGGGTGAGCGACAGAGCAATGCATAGTTTGATTCGTTACAATTATTGCTTCTGTGTAATACCCCCCCCCCCCCTCAATGTTGTTTCAGCGTGCCTCTGGTGCCGGTGTTCGCGTTCGGCGAGAACAAGCTGTACGACCGGGTGGCCAACCCCCGGGGTTCGGGACTGTACCGCATTCAGGAGTTTCTGCGGAGTAAGATCGGGTTGGCGCCTGTTCTGCCCATCGGGCGCGGACTGTTCCAATACTCGTTCGGCCTCGCCCCCCGCAGATTGCCCGTCACTGTCGTCGGTAAGGACCCTCCACTCCCACCCCCTTTCTCCTCCCGCTACTTTGTTGTTTCTGTTTTCCTGATCTACGAACATACAGTTAATTTTCTGTTGAATATTTTTCTGATTACAGTCGGAGCACCCATCACGGTGGAACGAGTGGCCGAACCCACCGACGAGCAAATTACTGAACTCAACAAGAAGTTTGAAGACGCACTGGTCAAACTCTTCGAAACGCACAAGGAAACATGCCACCCTGGAGAAAACATGGAGCTCGTCGTAGAATAAATAACTTGTTAACCGATTGTTTAAGAACCACTTTTAACGTTAATGTTTGTTGAATTTTCAATATATTTTTTAATGAGTTTTGAAGTTTGAATTTTTCTTTTTTCCTCATCTCGGTGAAAGGGAATTCCTTTCAGAGCGACTCCATACCTTTGTGAAGAGAGGAAGCTTGCAATGCCTCTTGTTAGAGTTCTAGGAGTTCAAGGATGCTTCGCTCCTCCCCACTGCTCCCCCCCCCCCACTTCTGTCCAGACACGAACGGACCGACAGGTGACAACAAGTACTGTACGTTAACGAGTTTAAAGCCAGCAGGCACGTGTCCGTAAAACAGTCACATCGTAGTTTATGATTTTTTTTCTTTTTTGCGGTGTACCATTGTGCCCGTTGCCGCGGTGCCGTAGCACACTGCTTGTCCAGCAGTGCCACAGCGCACGCCCGCCCGTCACCAGGTGAGAGGTGACAGGTGACGCATTCCAGCTCAACAGGCGAAATTTTCCGTCCCTCGTCCCGGGCCGCGGCGGCGCGGACGGGGCGCGCGAGGGATTAGCAGCTTTAGTGTTTTGTGTTTTGCGGAACTTCACTGGGCGGGGGCGGGGTATCGCAGCACCGCGACCACCACGGGCCGGCACCATTTCCGCCGCGGTTCAGCATGCCGGCGTGCCGACCGGCCTCAAAGTCCGTGCCGTGTGCCGTGTCGCCTGCTCCTCGAACACAACACGCGAGTGAGTGCGCGGCGTGCCCCCCCCCCCCCCCCCCCCCCCCCCCCCCCCCCCCCCCCCCCCCCCCCCCCCCCCCCCCCCCCCCCCCCCCCCCCCCCCCCCCCGCGGGGGGGGGGGGGGGGGGGGGGGGGAGTTGCCCCGGACACCACTCGACTTGCTCGACTCCACGGCAACGGCCGGCCGTCAGCCCTGAGCCCCCCAAGGCCGAGAAGGGGCTGCGATCCTTTGGTCCCGTTGCAGCAGGGTTAGCTGTGCATAGGACGGCCTCGGCGGCAGATATCTGGTGCAGGGGAGTGGGGGCAAAAGTGTTTGTTGTGCCGAAAGGGACGACGACGACGGGACGACGACGGTGAAAAGGAAAGCGGTCCGTCAATAACTCGCAAATTATGTTTTTAGTCTGACTCTGGTCCGCTATGCGGGGGCTGCTGGGGAGCGGGGGAGGGAGGGAGGGGGGTCGCTTTTATGGCGCGGACAGAGGCCGAGAGAGAGCAACCTGGGCCAGGTCGGCTAGGTAGGGCACCGGGATTAGCGCGACCTGCCCCGCCACGCCCCGCCAC